ACGGGGCTCACCCCCCACCCACACGCGCGCACACAGGGACACACACACACACACAGACGCACACACCCCCTGACACACACCCCCCCTGAGACACACTCATGGGGACACACACCCCCCAACACACACACACACGGATACACGCACACAGACGCACACCCAGACACACACACACCCCCCAAGACACACACACAGGGACACACACACACACGGACACACACGGATACACACACACCCCCCAAGACACACACTCATGGGGACACACCCCCCCCGACACACACACACACGGGGACACACACACCCCACGACACACACACATGGGGACACACACACATGGATACACACACCCGGATACACACACACACATGGATACACATGGATACACAGACGGGGACAAACACACACGGATACACATACAGTGGATACACACACACGGGGACACACACACACACACAGGGACACACACACACACCCTGACACACACACACACGGGGACAGACACAGGGACACAAACATGGATACACACACACAGGGACACACACATGGAAACACACACATGGGGACACACACACAGATACACACAGACAACGACACACACACATGGGGACACACACACATGGATACACACACCCGGATACACACACACACATGGATACACATGGATACACAGACGGGGACAAACACACACGGATACACATACAGTGGATACACACACACGGGGACACACACACACACACAGGGACACACACATGGAAACACACACATGGGGACACACACACAGATACACACAGACAAGGATACACACACACCCCCCAAGACACACACACGGGGACACACACACACACACAGGGACACACACATGGAAACACACACATGGGGACACACACACAGATACACACAGACAAGGATACACACACACCCCCCAACACACAGACACGGATACACACACACGGGGACCGACACACACACGAATACACACACACACCCCCCGACACACAGACATGGATACACACACACCTCCCGACACACACAGATACACACACACACATGGATACACACACGGATATACACAACACGGACACACACGGGGGGAACACACTGACATACCCATGGACACACACAGACACTGACAGACAGACACGGAAACACACAGACAGACATAAACACAGGGACACAGATGGACACACACACACACGGATGGACACACACAGACACACACATGCACACACACACACAGACGGACACGGACACACACAGACATGGACACGGACAGACACACACACCCCCACACACCCCCCATTGCACCCCATCCCCAAAGCTGGTGCAAAACAAGGGCTCCCTCAATTTGGATTAACAAAACCTGCTGAATGCGAGAGGTTTTGGGGCTTGAAATGCCCAAAGCTTGCCCCCCCCAGCCCCTGCCCCACGCCACCGGGGGTGTTTTTCTGCCCCAAACCAGTTGGGTTTAGGGAGAAAGTCAAGACGTGAGGGGGGCAGGGGGGCGTTGGCAGATCCACAGCACCATTTCAACTCTTTGACCTCATAAAACTCCTCCTGTGAGAAAAATAAGTGATAAATTTCACGGGACTTTGGGCAAAGGAGAAGCACCACCACCCAGCGAATTATAAATAAATCCATTTTATTAGAGATTAGCTCAGCAGCAGCCAACAATAAACCCTCTGGGGAAACAACCCCCCCGGGGCAGGGGACAGGCAGCCTGCGGGGGTCCCACCTCTCTCTGACCCCACCACCTTCACGCCAAATGCTCAAATTTTGGGTCAAAAATGCTCAATTTTGTGCCCTGACGGGATCAGGGACGGCAGCAGTGGATTCATGCTGCCATCTAGCGAGACTGGGTTATATATTATTTTTTTTATAACTCGCTCCTTTCTCCTGTTTTTTCGTTGGCTTTTTTTTTCTTATTAAAGCTTTTTCTGAGATTTTTCTGGAACGCCACCCCTCCTGCTGCCTGGAGATAATTTTTTGGGGCCAGCTTACCTGTTTTCTGACCACTCCAAGAGCCCTAGACCCGTTTTTGAGGAGCGTTAATCCATGTTAAGCCCCTCAGGGAATTCCTCGAGCCCCGCAAAAGCCATGGCTACCAAAACACCAGAGACAGAACAAGGAACCAAACCAAGGACTAGGTCTGAGGGTCTCCCCCCATCTTCTCCTGAAACATCACAACAAACCCAAACAGCTTTAGGAAGCAACACAAGAACTGGCAGAGGGTGATTCCCGCCCCCCCCTCCTGGAACTATTTCTTTCTATTTTGAACCGAAAAGCGAATCTTGGGGAGCAAATCCCACGCCCCCCCAACTCAGTTTTGCAGCCTCTCGAGCTCATCCATGTCGTCCGGGTCCAGCTGCTTGATCTTGGTCTCTGCAGGAAAGGGGGGAAACTGGTCAGTGGGAAAACTAACAACCACGGGGGCTTTCCCCACGCCGGCGCTTTCAAGCAAGAGGCAAAAAAACCCAGAGAATGATAATTAATGAGTTCATCCGCTTGCGTTTTCCTCCCGTGGAAACCCCACACCGGGCTGCTCGGCTAATTCCACGGGCCGGAATTAGCCTGGTGGATCCTTGAGCTGCTCCTCATGGTTCCCCAGTGCTCCCAGTGCTCAAAGTTAAAACCATTATCTTTGCCAGACCCTCTGCCTCGCGCCTGCTCTGCCAGGAGCCTGCCTGGGCTCGGCTGGTCAAAGGAGAAGCTGCCAAGACCATGCAGCACCTCAGACCACAAAGCTGAGGAAGGGAGGTGGTTCTCTGCACCTCGCAAGGTTTCCACAACCATCTTTTCCCTAATAAAATCACAAGGAAAGCAGGCACTGGGATTTGAACAGCCCCCAGTGCAGCTGCGGCATCTCACAAACCCCACGAAAATCCTCATGACACCAAGGAGCGACAGTCGATGGGGAAAACCCCGGGTGGTTTGGGCTGGTGGCTCCTCGGCTGCAGCCAGGGCTGAGCTACGCCGGGGCACCAGCTCCCCCGGGACCGGGATCTGCAGGGTAAAGGCAGGGAAAATCCCTGAAGGAGGGAAAAAATGAAGCACTGCCGAGGTCTCTTGGGTACTTCTAACATCCCTTGCAGCCTTGCTGGGCTAATTCTCTCCAAATTTGGCTGCTGGGGGGGGACAAAACCAACCCGAAAAGGGTGAGATGAAAGGAAGCTGCTGCCTGCAGGTGGGGATGAGCAAAGTCCATTTGCAGGTGGAAAACAAGCCAGAGGGGGGTCACTGGCCCCCAAACCGCCGGCTGGAGAGGAGCGGATGGGTCGGATACTCACGGAAATGCTTCTCAATCATCTCCACCAGCCCCAGGTTCTGGCGTTCCACCATGCTGAAGGCAATGCCCCTCTTCCCAAAGCGTCCCGTCCGCCCGATGCGGTGCAGGTAGGTCTCGAAATCCGGCTGGCACTTTTGGTCAGTGGGGAGGCTGAAGTTCACCACGATGGTGACCTGCTGCACGTCGATCCCTGAAAAAAAAAAAGAGGGCAAGGGGCTTTGGAAAGGGATCGTCTCGCCCGGGAGGATCCATTGCTCAAGGCCATAAAGCCACCAGAAGGACCCCCAGGCTGGGAAGAGCGTTGGGTTTTCCAGAGGTACCTCTGGCACAGACATTGGTGGCGATGAGGACCTTCTCCTTGCCGTCACGGAAGCGCTGGATGATGTTGGCCCGCTGGACTACCGTCAGCTCTGCCGTCAGGATGGCCACCTGGTGCCCGTCCTGGCACATCTCCATCGACAGCCACTCCGCGCTCTTCCGAGTCTGGAGGCCGGGGAGAGGCAGGCTGAGGTTTCACTCTGCTCCCACAGATATTTCCCCCCATCCCGAGCCCCCCAGCTCCTTTCAAGAGAGCTCCTGGCACTTTTTAACACCTCGAGGCAAAAACACCGTGGATGAGCAAGAAGCCCCCATCAGGACATGCAGACAAAGGCGGTCCCAAGTGGTAGGAGAGATGCTGTGAAAACACCACTTTTAAAGGCTTCTGGTGACGTGCTCCCCACCCTCCTGAGGGTCCAACTCGTTGATTTTGAGGCTCTTGGGAGGACCATTTCTGTTCTCACCAACTGGATGCACGGACATCCCCGATAAGCCTCTCTACCTGGCAGAAGATCATGGCCTGGCCGATGGTGATGCTGCCGTAGATGTTGCAGAGGGCCCGGTACTTCTCCTCCCGGCTGCGGCAGAGGAAGAAGTACTGCCTGATGTTGCTGAGGGTGAGCTCTTCCTCCCGCAGCTTTATCACAATGGGGTTGGAGACTATTTGCACAGCAAAGGCCCGCACGGTTTCCTTGAAGGTGGCGGAGAACAGCAGCATCTGGCAGCCCTTGGGTAAAGCCCTGGAGGGGAGGAAAAGGATTCATCAGCCCAGGAGGTGCCCAGATGTTTAGAAGGGAAAAAAAAAAACAAACCTAAGCTAATTTAAGCTGATTTTGTGTTGCCTTCAACAGAAAAGGAACCCAATCCGAGAACTGTGGCCACTCAAGGGGAAAGGAAGTGAGATAAAAGCCTTCCTGTGTGTCTCATGGACATGATTTTAGAGAAAGCTGGATCCTGGGACTCGCATTTCCCTGGATACCCAGTTGACATCACAGGGACGCTCACTTCCCTGCTGGTTCAGCTCATTTGGTGACCAATTCCCTCAAAGCCGAGGGGGAAAAAAAATCCAGGGAAGCAGGATGCCAGCTGTCAGGAATGCTCACCTCTGGATGCGAATGCTTTGGCAGGAGAGGCCCTGAGTGTGGATCATGATGTCGGCTTCATCCAGCACGAACATGGTGATCTTCTTCATGTCGATGGCTCGCCGTTTGAAACACCAGTCCAGCATGGTCCCCGGCGTCCCGATGACGATCTGCTCCTCCCGGATGCTGCCCTGCGGAACTGCAAGAGAGAAAAGGGCATCCCAGAGCCTCCCAACACAACACATTTCTGCTGCTCCCTCAGTTATCTCAGATTCCAGCCTTAGAGGGGGTCATCACATCGGGATTTACAGTTGGCTGACACTTCCCTGCAGCCTCCTGGGGTGGAAACCAGCCCCACGTGTGAAAGAGGGAGGCTGGGAGCCGCCAGTGGTCATGAAAAAGCCTCCTTAGCAGGAAAGGGAATAGAAATGCTACTTTATTGGCCTTCGCAGGGATCTGTGTGGCTCCTGTAGCTCAAGGCTCTAAGAGAGGATCCCTGTACTCACCTCACGCTCCCATCACGGCGCTGGTAGCTCTGGGAGCAGGAGCAGACTCACCTGGGTTTCCCCGGACAGCGTACGTGACCTTGATGTCAGCACAAAACTGCCCGATGCTCTCGATGACCTGCCCGATCTGCAGGGCCAGCTCATAGGTGGGAGCCAAGCAGAGGCACTTGGGGGGAGACAAGAGAGCTGTCAGACAAGAGCTGTCTCCATGAAAAGCCAAGGGCGCTGCTGGGGTGGGATACACTGGGCAGGCAACGCGGTTATTTCAGAAAGAAGAGCACAGGAAAAGCACTAAAGCCCCTCAAAAGCACCGGGGAATGGAGCAGTCGGAGGGAAGGGAGCTGGGAACATGGCACAGCTCAAGGGACGCAGGCAGGAGCAAGTTGCTGTAGCTATTTTTGAGGGGGGGAATTCACCTCCTGAAGCACGGGGCAGAGTGCTTCTGTGCCCAGCTTTTCAGTGACGGCTTAAATCCCCCTGTAGGCTCGAGAGGAGAGACTTCAATTTGCAGGAACCAGCTCGCAAAGCTGATTCCACACGCAAAGGGGTGACTCGGGGCTCGTTTAAGCCACCAGAAAACCAGAATTCTCTGCAGTTGCTTTTCAAAATTTAAATGCCAGGATACTGAAAGCCTGCCCCGATCTGATGCTGGTGAGGAAAAGTACCTCCCTTTAGTGGGAACCACCCTTTCTGTCCTACCTGCTGCAGCAACAGTACCTGGGGGTTTACTGTCCCCCTCCAGCAGATTAAAATCAGGGACAAAACCCAGAGCTCTGCCCCCAGGCAGCATCTGGAGGGCTGGGACAGACCCCTCCTGCATCAGCTTTCCCTTTCCTGCGTTACCTGTGGGTGTTTCTCAGCGGCATTAACTCTGCTCAGCATCGCCAAGACAAAAGCTGCCGTTTTCCCTGTCCCTGACTGGCTCTGGGCAATCAGATTTTGGGGCCTGCAAAGCAAAAGGCGCTTAGCGGAACCTGGAAGGAGCCAGGGTTCACCCGCCCAGTGTTTCTACTCACGGATACGCCAGCATGATGGGCAGAGCTGTCTCCTGGATTTTGGATGGTCTGTTGAAGCCCATGATGTAAATCCCCTGCAAAAGCTCCTTTTTCCTGTAAAACAACAAAAAAAAAATCAAAAAGGGCCCATCTGATGAGTGGCAGCAGCTCTTGTGCTTCACCGTGTGACTCACAGGGGCAGCTCTTCAAAGGTTTTGACGGAGAAGAGCGGGGAGCTGGGGTCCTGCTGCAGGATCTCCACGTGGTGGCTCGACTCCACCAGGGAGGTGCGGATCAGTTTGTTCAGCAGCGAGGTTTCTGCCAAGTCCACTGGAAAAGGCAGAAACTCGTTAAAAAAACAGGAGTTATCCCAGAATCATAGAATGGTTGAGCTTGGAAGGGGCCCTGAAGGCCACCTAGTCCCACCCCAACTCTCTCAGCCTGTCCTCCAGCCCTCTGTGGCCTCCTCTGGCCCCATCCAACAGGTCCAAATCCTTCTGATGTTGGTGGCCACAGAGCTGGAGGCAGCACTTGGGGGGTGTCTCCCCAGAGGGGAGCAGAGGGGCAGAATCCCCCTCTCACCCTGCTGGGGATGCAGCCCAGGGTGCGGGGTGCTCCTGGGCTGCCAGCGCACGGTGCTGGGGCGTGTTGAGCTTCTCACCAAGCCCTTCTCTTCAGGGCTGCTCTCCATCTATTCTCTGCCCAGCCTGGATTTGTGCTTGGGATTGCTCCGCTCCACGTGCAGGACCTAGCACTCGGCCTGGTTGAACTTCATGAGGTTTGCATGGTCCCACCTCTCCAGCCTGTCCCGCTCCCTCGGGCGTGACACCACACCACTCAGCTTGGTGTCATCAGCAACCTTGCTTGGGGTGCCCTGGATCCCACTGTCCGTGTCATTGATGAAGGCTGGTTCCAACTCAAGACCCCTGAGGGACACCGCTTGTCACCAATCTCCACCAGGACACTGAGCCATTGACCCACCACTCTCTGGATGTGACCAATTCCTCATCCACTCACCACTCCACCCACCAAATCCCTGTCTCCCCAGTGCAGGGAGCAGGATGGTGCGGGGAACGGCCTCAAAGCCCTCAGAGCAATGACCCTGTCACTCTTCCCTTGTCACTTCTCACCAGCAGCTTGTCCCCTCCTGGCTGTCCCCTCTCTTAGGGGACCTGGACACCTCCCTGTCCCTCTCTCAGGGGTCCTGGACACCTCCCTGTCCCTCTCTTAGGGGTCCCGGACACCTCCCTGTCCCCTCTCTCAGGGGCCCTGGACACCCCTCAGGACCTTAATTAGCGGTTAACATTCATGGCCAAGCCGCGGGACCCCCTCCCCACCTCAGTTTCCTCTCAAGGAGGCCCCGGGACCCACCTCTCTCCTCCTCCTCCTCCTCCTCCTCTGGCCCATCGCCGAGGCCGCCTGTGGGGACACGGGGTGAGGAGGGGTCGGGGGGTGGCGAAGGGGCCACGGGAGGGAGCGAGGCCTGGCCCCGTCCCAACCCTCCCCGAGGCCGGGCCTGCCCTTACCCCGCCGGCGCACGAAGGGGTCCGGGCGGCGCAGGGGGGGTCCGGAGGCGGGGAGCTGCGGAGGGAGAGGAGCTGTTACCGGGGGTGTGTGTGTGGGGGGGTCACACACACGGGGAGGCCCAGGGGGAGGGAGGGAGAGGGGGCCCGGCCCGGCGCCCACCCGCAGCCG